CACCCTCAATCCCATCACAGCCTTAAGGGGCGTTTCCTGGGATGTGGCCTGTAATACTTTTTCTCATATAAGAGATAAAAGGAGAGAGAAGGGACCAGAGAGAGGGACCTCAGTACCACCGAGAAAGAAGAGCCAGGAGCAGTGTGTTTTTGAACCTGGGGTCCCTGTGCTGGGAACCTGCTAGATCCCGGGAAGACTGATGCCAAGACACATGGAGATCTCCAAGGACAACCAGGCCCATAGATGTTGACAAGAGGCAAGGACCTCCCTCAGAGCCGACAGAGAGAACCTTCCCCTAAGCTGGTCCCCTGAACTAGGACTTCTAGCCTCCTAAGCCATGAGAAGAAATTTCTGTTTGTTAAGGCCATCCACCTCGGCACTTCTGTTGTGGCAGCCCCAGGTGACTAAGACAGTGAGCTTGGAAAGTCACCGCTCACCACCCGCAACCGAACTCCTGGGCACTTACCCAGAGGAGAACAGGTTGCTGGCCACACAAAAGTGCATGTGTGATCACTCAGAGTGGCTTTATCTATAAGAGCCAAAAAGTGGAATAAACAGGAATGTCCTTCAGTTGGCAAATGGTAGAGCATGCACACGGATCAGAATGCTACTCAGTCAGCGAAGGAAACAAGCCACTGATGCACAGAAGGGCTTGGGTGGATCCCAGGGGCTTTACGCTGAGTGGAGAACATCACCTTCAAAGGGTCACAGATGGCGGACTCCATTAACTCAGCGTTCACAAAGTGACATCGAGCAGAGAGCAGGTCAGGGGTCGCCAGGAGTTGGGGCCGGTGAGGAAGAAGGGAGGTGGTGTGACCCTGAGGTAGTGGTGGTGACATGAATCTACACGTGACAAAATGACACAGAACTAAACATGCTCCCTGGCATATTGTCAAGGTCCTACTTTTGCTACTGCAATGATAGCACAAGTGACCACTGGGGAAAACCGGGTGAAGGGCACTATGTTTACAACTTCCTGTAACTTTATAATTATTTCTAAATAAAGTGTTTTTAAAAAGTCATTGTCCAAGATTAACAGTTTTGATCCTGTTGTACGTGTGCTCTGGAACTGAACAAGCCAGTCCACAGTGGGAGATGGTGGAGGTGTTTCTTGCTGTTAGAGTAGGAGCTTACAGGCAAGCAACAGAGGAGGCCAGAACAACCCTATATGGTGGTAGAGCTGGACTGCTGACATCAGTTTGAACTCATGTTTCGCTTTACAGAGATACCAAGCCCAGAGCTGGCGAGGCAGCTCTGAATTCCAGTTACCCTGTAGGACATAGGAGAACTGCCCCATAGCATTTCTGAGGCCATAAATCTTTATGGAAACAGACTGCCTCATCTTTCTCCCGCAGAGCGAGTGGTGGTGGTTCAAACCTTCACCCTTTCGGTTTGCAGCCAAGCACTTAAACGCTGCACCACAAGGGCTCCTTCATACAGATGCAGAAAGCTACAAATAAAAATACTTACAAACACGAGTGTATACACATTTGGGAGGCCTGGGGGCAGCGAACCTGTCAGCAATGAGCTCACTCGGCACCCCGAACTTGGCTTCTAACGCCCTTTTCCACTGAGAGAGAGGAAGCAGAGCTCTCGGAGGGAGGGAGGGATGGCCAACTCACTCACAGGCTGGAACGGCAGGAACAGAAACATACGAGATGCCTCCAGTACGTGCGAGCACCAGAAGGAAGGAAGTGCCAAACACAAACCAAAACAAAACAAAAGCTCACAAGGACTGCACACAACTTCCTGTCAAAGGAGGAGGAGGCAATGTCAGAGCTGGAACAAGCTGAGCGACAAAAGGAAGCAGTACCGAAGCGGGGGGAAGAGACAGTCTCCCACAGAGGAATCCGCAACACTCATGCGGACCCTGCACCTTGAGGAGGTAGAGCCCAACTCCGTCCACGCCTTCAGTGGGGCTGACTTCCTTCCTGTGTATGGGAAGGGTATGTGGAGAAGCCGGACACACTCTACGCCAGCCAGGTGATCATGGCCATGTCGGGAGGTCACGTGGACAGTTTGTGCCCTTCACCTCTGGTCTTGGCTCCGGAAAACCATAACCCAGTCTCCTCATGAGAAAGGCATCAGACCCGTGCCAAGAGGGGCGTCCTACGAAACATCTGAGAAGCGCTCTTCAAAGCTGTCAGGGTCATCAAAACCAAAGAGCATCTGAGAAACTGTCCCAGGCCAGAGGTGCCTGAGAGACAGCATGACAACCCGTGACGTGGGACCCAGAACGGCTCCTGGGCAGAAAAGGGGCATCGGTTATAAACTGAGGAACCTGACAGAAGCATGGGCTTCAGAGAACAGCAACACACCAGTGCTGGCTCATTGTTGCCACAGAGGTGCCACATCAGACACGGTGCTAATCACAAAACAGGGCTGGGGCTCACAGGAACCTGCCACCCTTCCTTCACAGTGTCTCTGAACCTAGCACTGTTCTCAAGAAGGAAGTGGCTGTTCTGAAAAAGGTTAGGCTGCTCAAGACATGGAAGACCCTCTCCCGAGCCCTCGCCATCCCGGCTCCGGCCAGGAGCAGAGGGTGACCCATCCACACTGCACTGTCATGCTCGCGGCACCCAACAGGCCAGCACCCCGCCGTCCTGCTGAATGAGCAACACCTGTGAGCACACAGACACCTGGCCAGCCCGCAGGCCCCACCTGGGATGCTGCCCCACCTGCTCTCACAGCCTCATGCTGGGCTCCCTGACAGGCCCATGGGATAGCAACAGGTCCCCAGCTACCACGTCCAGGCAGTCCCTGCAGCATCACAAGTCCTCGCAGTAGGCAGGCAGGCCTCACCCTGGACATGGGGGACTGCTTCCCAGGCTTCCTTCAGGGAGTGCGTGCAGGTGGAGCGCAGGGGCAGAGGGAGGGAGCAGAGCGGGGGGGGGAGTGTGGGAGTGGAGTGCAGGAGGAGTGTGGGAGTGGCATGCAGGAGGAGCGGGCTGCGCGTCCACCAGCTCACTGCCGCGCACGGGAGCACCGTCCCGGCGAGGCCTGGGAAGGCTGGTGCCCAGCACTATCTGAGTAACGCCCACAGGCACATTTGCGTGTCAGCCCTCGCAGGGACCCTGGGGGCCGCAACCTGGGCTGTCTGGTTTGCAGGTGGGGAAACCGAGGCCCCGACAGTCGACTCCTCCTCTCTCCCAGGCACCAAGCTTCCCACTGCAGGGACCACAGCAGCTCCTCCCTCTTGTCGCCAAGAACATCAGCTCAAGACACCTGCCAGCGCCTGCCTCATCTGCGTTCCAGGATCTTGGACCCCTGCCAGACCACCTTGGGGAGGACGTGTATCGGCTCTCTGACTGTGGACAGAAGGCCCTCACCGGCTGTGGTCAGGTCACCTGTGTCGCTGTGTCAGCATCTTTCCCGTTTCCAAACATTTGGGTCCTACAGGCAACATCTTTACAAGCGGACTTCTCACTCACACACTGCTCGTGGCTTATCCCCAGAAGGCACCCTCGCAGAACAGTGACTGCACGTGAGATGCAGGTGCAAGTCTCCCAGGCATGGCCGTGTGTATCAGCAGCCCGAGCGGGGACCAGTTAAGTGTTTAGGGAAGACACGAAAGGAGCCATCGGGAAGATGGGAGCTGGGTGCTGAGGACCTGCTCCAGAGACCATCCCGTCTCTGCCAGAGGTAGCTGAGAAAATGAGGCCTGAAAACTTCTGGAATTTCTCCTCTCTGGGGTCGACCTACAAAGCTGGGGCTTCCAAGTCAGCATCGAGGACTGAGTGCAGAGGCCAGCTGAGCCAACTTTCCCAGAAGCCTCAGACCGGTGGCTCCAAGTGGTGGCCAAGAGCAAGGTGGGCCCTCTTGGAAGAGGCAGCAGGGGCTGTCAGGAACTTGCTGGAGAGACCACAGGACACAGGCTTCAAGTCTCTGGGCTCAGGTCCTCGGAGCTCCGACCAGCAGGCCCAGGAGCACTGGTTTTCATCAGAAGCAATCAAGGGCAGGCCAGTGTCAGCCAGGCATGAATGCCACTGTGTCCTGGGCTCCACCGTCCCCAAGACCTGGGGGCAGCAACAGCCCTCGACTCACTAAGAACCAGCTCAAGGCCGGCACCCCATCCCCACCCCCACCCCGAGAGCATCTGAGGACAGACCTGGGCCTGTTCCTCCCTCATCTGCTGAAGCTCCAGCATCCAAGGCAACGTGTTCAGAAAGACTCACAAACCAGTCACGCTCCAGTGGGCTCTGCCTATCGAGCCAGACATCAGAACCTCCTCGAGCAGAACAATTAACTTGAGCTCTGGGCCGCGGAGGCGGTGGAGGTGGCGGAGGCGGCGCGGCGGGGGCTAGGGACAAGGACACACTGCTCGGGGCATCTGGAAGATGGTGACAGTCTTCAACCCGGCCCCTGCAGCTTAACCTGCACTCACCCAGCACTGAGGAAGAGGGTGGGCTCCTATCCCTGGTCAGAGTGCATGGACCCCCATGTGTGAGGGCACAGGGACACAGCGGGCCAGAGCGCCAACCCCACACCGTCAGCCGTGTACCCACCAGGCCTGCACATACGCTCCCAGGGCCCCACACATGCTGTGGTAGACACCGGGTGCTGGAGTGGGCTCCACACTGGGCCCTGGCTCTCCAAGAGATGAGAGTGCGTGTGGGGAACTGCACGTGGTCCTGTGAGAGCCCTCAGGACCACCCAGGAGGAACCCGTGTGGCTTGGCTAAATGCACAACCTGCCCTGTGGGCAGAGAGAAGGCAAGCTGACCGGGAGCTGGGACTCACGGGCGGCCCCGAGTCACACCGACAGACAGAGACAGAAGCAGGAAACAGACCCTGGAGCGAAAGGGGCCCCGACTTGGGGCAGGTTTTGACAGGTGCGGGTTGCCCAGAGAGGACAACAGGGGTGGACACGTGGCGTTTGGGAGGAGAGCCACCTGCAGGAGTGCAGGAGTGGACATGGGGTGACTGAGGAAGGGTCTACCCAGACCCCCCCACACACACAGACACACGTGGCGCTGGGGGAGGCTCTGCCCGGGGCCGTACCTTGGTCAGCAGCAGGACTCGCTTCTGCAGCCTCCGGGCCTGAGCCTCACTGGTCTCCCGCCGCTTGCGCTCCTCCAGCAGCCGGCTGCCCACCTGGCGGACCTCGTCCTGAAGCTGCTGCCGGGCCTTCTCCAGCCCTCGGGCACTGCAAGGGCAAAGGGTCGACGTGAGGCCGGTGCACCCAACCCCCAACACAGCCCCCACACAGACCCTCGGGGCCCGGGATGCACTGCCACTGCTCCTGGAACCTGCAATGGCCACACGCAGAGCCCAGGGCCGACGTGAGGCTGGTGCAGCGCCCCCAGCACAGCCCCCCCAGCCCCCCAGGCGGGCCCTTGCTATGGGCGCTCCTGAAGCCTGAGACGGCACCGCCGCACATGTGCGCCATCACTTCCTCACTCTGAATAGCTACTTAGTACCTTTCAGGAGTTTCTGGACTCCCAGCCGACACCCTGGGTGATCCCGGAACGCATGGCGGAGGCGGCCCGCTCCACACACAATGGGGCAGATTGTGGGAGCACGATTGCCGAGCTGGCTCTGAATGAGCCCAATCACGGTGCGTCCCTGACTCACAGTGACAGATGTGCGTGGGGTGGCAGCGCCTAGCCGTTCCACGAGCATAGCAGAGCCAAGGCCTGAGGCGCGTCTGCGGCCCGGGGAGCCTGCTGCCCCACTGGGGCTGACCGGAGGCAACGGGCGCTAAGGCGGGGTCCGGGAAGTGCCTTCGCCCCACCAGAGCTGCTGACCTTCCGGCCGGCTCTGCGCTCTAAGTGTCTCCCTCCCACTCCAGGCCCACGGCCTCAGCCTCAGCCCACCCTCACCAATTGTACCCTTGCTCTGCGCTGGTCAGTCCTGTGCACAGGCACAGACAGGGCTGGGGCAGGTGGCAGGGCACAGCGCGGACACTGACGAGGTGAGGGCCTGTGCCGCAGAGCACGGTGGGGTGGGGGCCCATGCTGCAGCCAGCCCTCCACACAGACCCTTGGGGCCCAGGTGCACTGCCACTGCTCCCGGAACCTGAAATGGCCACATGTACATGTCCCAAGCCTGCAGGTGGGGAGCACCAAGCCCTCACATTTGCAGGCGTCAGAGTCGCGGCTGAGGGCCTCCCCAACAAGCCCAGGGCCTCACTCGATGGCGGGCACCTTGGGGAGCACAGAACCGGCTCTGAGAGACGTGCTGCCCACCAGGCACAGGGCCGTGACTGGGCGCAGGGCTATGTGCAGGCAGCTGGGAGGGACAGAGAGCCGCAGACTCTGAGAGGGGTGGCAGTGCCGGTCCTCAGGCCATGGGACACAGGGAGCACTCACAACGGCTTAGAGGCCTGGTCCCAGCACAGCGCCCGGCGTGGGGGCAGATGGACAACTCACTGACACGCTGACACTGTGACGGGCTGGAAGGAAATGTGCTCCCCTGAGGAGCTAAGGGAGGGAGGAGAGGGGACAGAGGACAGTCGTGGGTGCCCTGAAGGGGCGGGGGGGCTACCTGCTCATCTCGGGGGGGGGGGGCCCAGAGGACACTGAAGGAGAAGGCACTGTGCCTGCTGTCTCAGGGAACCCTGGGACTGGAGCTATGAGGAGGAAGAGGAGGGGAGACGAGAGAGGTGAGAAGTGAGGATGCCGTGGGGTGGCAGAGAACAAGGGAACAGGACAGCAGGCGGGACCGGACCACACGCAACCCTGCCCTTACACAGGCGAAGGACGGTAGGAGGAAGCCTGACAGCTGGAAGGGACATGAAGTCCAAGGGGGTGTTTCCTCTGTTTTAAAAGTGCGAAATAGAGCACCATCACGCCAGAACCGGCAAAGAGCTAGGCGGGGAGACCTGGGGTCCTGGTATGCAGACAGGAGGAACCACCGAGTCAGCAGGAAGACGGGGACAAACGGCCCAGTGGCGGGTCCACCTACATAGGCAAGCAGTCTTCTGCCGACTCCAGGAATCCAGCCCCAAACTGGGTTTTCAAACCACCTGCCACTGCACAGCGCGCCCCATCCCTGAACGTGAATGAGGGGGAGCCCAGGTTCCATCAGAAAGGGCAGCTCACCCCACAGGCCCCACAAGCCATGGCACCACAGCTCAGTAGCATCTGGGAAGCCAAGTCCCAGGGCCCCATCCCCAATACTAGGGCCACGCCACGGCTCTACAGGCCAACACCAGGGCCCACACCGCCAGCTCTGCACACCAACACCGGGGCCCATGCCACCGGCTCTGCACGCCTACACCAGGGTCCATGCCACTGGCTCTTTCCTGACAGGAATAGTCTCCCCATTCAACCTCAGCCTTTCTTGTAAGGTAAAGAGAAAACTCATAAAAAATTAACTCTCAAGTCCCATGGTGGGGTTGAACTCCAAGGTCACTGGCATTTCTGCAAACCTTTGGGAGTTCAAAGTGAAGTTCTCAGTTCTCAGAGGGAGAACCAGGAGTGTTCATTGATCGGGGCCCCTCAGAGCTCAGGTCTGCCGACCTGAAGCAGGCTGGCCTTTCAGAGCTCATCTGTGTGCTGTGGGGCCTCCGTCAACCTGACAGCAACGTTCATCCAAAAGCTCCAACCCTAAGAAGGCCGACTTCCAGGAGCACCGAGGGAACACAACACCCACAGGTGGAGAGGCGTCTGGGAGATCTTCTGCAGGACACGTGGCATCCTGGTCCCACACCCCCTCTCAGCACCCAGCCGTGCTACACACCCGGCCACTAAGGAAAGGGCGTCTGTGCAGTCAGACGGAGTAGGGTGACCCACCTCCAGGGAGACCAGCCTCAGAAGAGGACCTGGCCAGGCGGCGTCAGCCCTGAGGAGGGCGGCCACGCTTTCCTGAGCACCCCGAGTCTTGGCCGGCTGTGAGCAGATAGTGAAAGTAGGCACCCTGCCATGTGTCGTCTGTCACACCATGCTGGCTGGCATGCTGCTGTGATCCTGGAAGCCATGTCACTCCCCAGCAGTTCACACACCAGCAGGGTCACTCGTGGCACACAGGTTTCAGTGGGGCTTCCAGACTAACACAGACTGGGAAGAGAGCCCTGGTGACTGTCTCCAAAAATCGGCCAGCAGACCCGGACCCTTGCTCTGGGCCCATCATCAGACCAGCGGCTGCAGGAAGGCAGTGTGTTTGGTGAAGCAGAGGCCGGCGGGGGGCAGTGGACCTTCAGTGAGACAGACTGGCATGACGGCCACAACAACAAACCCCAACACTCTGGTGATCGTGGGGGTGACGCAGGACCGGGCAATGTTCCATACTGTCGTCCACAGGTTGTCATGAGTTGGGGCGGACTCCACAGCTGCTATCTGTTTGTCTGTCTGTCTGCCTACCTCATCAAGCTGTCAATCTGTCTGTCTATAGCATCCTGGCTGCTTGTCTATGTATCTGTCTATCATCTCATCCTATCTATCAATCTATCATCTAGCTATCTATCTCATCTTGTCTGTTTGTCTGTCTGTCTACCTACCTATCACCTATCTGTCTATCTACCTATCTATCACCTATCTGTCTGTCTATCTACCTATCACCTATCTGTCTGTCTATCTATCTATCTAGGCCTGCATAACCATGCCCAGGCCCAAATTCATAGTAAGACTGACTCTGAGCTCTGGTGGCATAGTGCCTAAGGCATTTGACTACTAACCAGAAGGTTGGCGGTTCAAACCCACCAGCCACTCCTTGGAAGGAAATTTGGGCAATCCACTTCTGTGGAGACGCTGCCTCAGAAACCCAAGGAGGGGTCGCTGTGAGTCTGACTCAACAGCGGTGCATTTTGGAGTGTTCTGAGGTACACATCACCTTGCTGACAGCAGCACTTGGGTACGATGTTCTCACACAACACAGGGTGACACAGGAAGCTGAGTCCTGCAGATTGTCCCTGATGATTAGCCGGACACACTAATTAGGACACACTAATTAGGCTGAGCCCCTGGAGGTCCCCAAGGGGTTAAGATACATCATACCTCTGCTGGGTTTCTGAGACTGTACATCTTCCCAGAAGTGGATTGCCCCGTCTTCCTTCCGAGGAGCGGCTGGTAGGTTTGAACTGCCAGCCTTCTGGTTAGTAGTCAAATGCCTTAGGCACCGCACCACCAGAGCATCTGACTCTGTCTGTGTACTTTGTTGTTGTTGTTGTTATGTGCCGTCGAGTCGGACCCGACTCATAGCGACCCCTCCTTGGGTTTTCGAGGCAGTATCACTACGGAAGTAGATTGCCCCATCTTCCTTCCGAGGAGTGGCTGGTGGGTCTGTGTACTTACTGGGTCTTAATAACTACATTGAATAATTACCAAAAAAAAAAACAAAAAACCCAGGACCGTATTAATAAAACTTTTATTCAAACAAGGTCCCAGATGGCTCTTTGCTCTTGGGGTCCTGAGGAACAGGGCTCAGTGCCCACAAGCCTACAGTGGGGCCTCTCACCCATCAGTGTGAGTGCATGTCTGTGTGGATTTAAGTGTATGAGCGCATGTGTGTGCATAAGTGCATGTGAGTGTATGTGTACAAATGTGTGAGCATGTGTATGTTGGGAGGGTGAGTGTGAGTGCATGACTGCGAGTATATGAATTCATGTGAGTGTCAGTGCACAAGTGTGAGTGTACTATGTACACATGTGCATGTGTGTGAACATGTAAGTGTGAGGGCATGTGTGTGCATGAGTTTATGAATGCATGAGTGTGGGTGCATGTGTGTGCACATGTACATGCTTGTGAACATGTGGGTGTGGGTGCATGTATGTGGGTGAGTGCATGTGTGTACATGAGTGTGAGTGTGAAACAGGCAGAAGAATAATGGTCCTGGTGACAGTGACCGTCTCTGTGGGGCAGTGGCTGTAGGAAGCCCTGGGAGGTGGACGAGGCCACAGCAGCACAGAGCTGACCTGGGCCTCTGTCCCAAGGCTGTCCCCAGATGAGGTGGGGCTGAAAGAGAAGCAGCTTTGAAGAGCAAGGGGCCAGACGCAGCATCTGCAGAGACCAAGTGAGACCAAAGGAGCGGCTAAGGAAGAGATGCCAGCCCTCCAGTAAGCAGCCCGACACCACGGCACCAGTGTCCACAGCAGACACCCACCTGGGCAGGCCAAGCAAGCCTACAAACACCCACAGCCTACGGTCCACACCAGGTCCTTGTGCCCTCCGCTGCCCTGGCGTACCTGGCTCATGGCCTGCTCTCCCG